CCCGCTGCGCTCGACTCCTGCGTGAGCGGAACTGAGCCCACCCGGCGAGCCCGCGGAGCCGGCGCGGCTGCTGCCAGGGCTACCGCCGCCGTGGAGTCATGTGATAATCCGGCTGCAAGGGCTCCAGCGACTGCTGGGGCCGTAGCTCGGCCCCTCCCCTGCCGGCGGAGCGAGGCTCACAGCCGGACGGTGACCTCCTCGGTGAGGGGGAGCCAGGCCGGGTCGGTACCTGACGGAGGAGATGGGGGGCGCTGTGAGCTAGTGGCGGTGCAGGTGTTGGCGGCGGTCACGTGGAGCCGGGCCGCCGGGAAAAGCCAGTTGAGGAATCCACTCGCGGAGGAATGCTGCCTACGCCTTCGGGAAAGGAAACTTCGAGAGCTGGAGGGGTAAGAGGAGACAGGTGGAAACCCTGCGGACGGCCTCAAGGCCTGCAGTGGAAGGAGAAACACCTGGTGTGAGAGACTAAGGCGCTTTAAAAAAAAAAACACCCACAGTGGTTGCATAAAAATCATTAAAAGTTTTCCCCTAGGTATATCTAGAATTACTTTTCTTTTTCTTTTCAGTACTACCACACGCATTATTATCTGCGGAGTAAAACTTACTTCGAACCCCAGAATAAAAGCTTAATCGCGAAGAAAACAGAAGAGCTCTAAGGAATTGAAAGTAAGCACTTATTTCACCTAGTTAATTAACTGCTTGCTAGATTGATACAAGCATTTTCCTCCAACAAAGCAACAAAACCAAAGTATCTTTTCAAAGCTGACGCTGTTTGCTGTTGATAACACTTAATGCAGCCTTGTCTTAATTTGAAATATTGTTGTGAAATTATCTAAGGGCACCTTAAAACTAAAGGAATTTAAATAAAGTTAAGCAACTCAAATGCTAAAGTAAAAATGGTATGTTTGGAACAGTAAAATTTTGTGGTACTCTTATATTAAAACAAAATGCGAAAAACCGATGAATGTGCTGCTTCAGAAGGTAACAGTCGTTAATTACTGGCTTAAAAATTTTTGTTTGCAAGAGAGCTGTATCCTGCTCATGTTTACTTATTCTGTATCCTGTTCCTGTTTACCTACCATTTAATTTGCCAAGATTCTGTGTTACTTGTGGAGTTGTGCCCTGAATGGCTTACTTGGAATTCAGGAGGGAATACAGGCCCTCTGTCTCAGTGAGTGGGAGGCGGGGAGCAGCCCAGGTTTGATTCAAAGGTAATTCTTTGAAGAGGAATTGGAATCCTCGCTTTTAGGGGAGGCCTAAATAAACTTCACTGATCCCTCTTATTCAGTATCTATAATGTATTTTAAGGCATTTTCCCCTTTGGCTTTTTCATGAATAGTTACTTTGATCTACTATACACCAAATAATTTTATATATACCCACACACACACATGAACGTACAGCATTGAATTTTTCAGTGAAATACCATTCCAGTCAATGAGTTCTCTTATTACTTTTCACAGAACAGTGATTCTCTAATTTAAAATTTCTTTAATTTTAAAATTGGGGGCAGGATTCTAAAAGATGTAAAATCTAAATAAGTCCACCAAAAGTTTTCTCAACCTTTGTTAAATTATAAACTCCTTCTGAATGCAAAATATCAATGTTAAACAGCCAACCACATGCTCTGGAATCCACTGAGTTTTATATAAACTTAGAATCCTCTTCTCAAGCTTTTGTTGTAGGACAGTTACCTTTTAGCAATAGCCTTTGGGGGGAGGGTGGGGGGTGGTATAGCTCAAGTGAGAGCTTGCTTAACATGAGTGAGGTCCTGGGTTCAATCCCCACTACCTCCTCCAAAAATAAATAAATAAGCCTAATTACTCCCCTCCCACACAAAAAAAAGCAAAAACAAATTAAGGAGAAAAAATTTTAATGCGTTTTGAATACTTCAGTAACTAACTACTGAGATGAATTTAATAGGCTCTTCCCTTCATTTCACCTTATGGCAAAGCTTTAGTATTTACCAGAAAAAGGATTTATTTTTCAATTTAAAAGTAGTACTAGATCATGATCAATAAAGAAAGAAAGTCCAATAGTACAGAACTGTAAATGGGAAAAGGAAAAGACTCCAAAACATTTCCCCAGAGGATCACTGCTGTTAATATTTTCTGTAGCCTCTCGAAATTTTTCTCAAATAGGACATTTAGCATAATTAAATTTGGTAATGTTAGCCATATTTGTGAACCAGTGTTTTGTAAGAAGTTATTTTACAGTTTCTCTGTAACCTAGTTATTATCCATCATGGGAAAATGCTGGCAGATCTTTCACTTTGCACAGCAGACTTTGTTCTGCTAATGGCAGGCAAAACAGAAATTCCGTGCTTGTTCTCCTTTGACTATGCCTGTAGTTTGTGTTCACGGCTAACTAATGAATCAACTGCCTTGTCCTTATACCCACCTCTAAGGTCAGTGTCCCATCCTAGATTTTCCAGAGAAATATTTCCCATGTAATTTACTCCTCAATTATGTCATTCATGGAGATCAATGCTTCAGGTAGGACGTAAATCCTTATTAAAATGGGTGTGGTCATTGCTTTTAGGAAAGCCCCTGAAAAAGTACCTTCCATACCTATTACAGATGCGAATTTGCCAGTACCTGCGCTCTCAGCTTTAGAATTATTTATTCCTTAAATTCAAATGATGTAGTAATCAAAAATTGAGAGACCCTCAACGTGTTTGTTACACCCTGTGTGTGCACTCAGGTCATCAAAAGATATCCTTCATTTGTCTCTCTTGTGTTTTCTTTCCTCTGGAAAATGTGAGTTTGAAGACTTCAAAAGGACGTTCATTTATAAGATAGAAACATAGACCTTATACTTAAATGTTCTTTGTATAAATATAATCTCACTTCTAGGCCTATAATACTATGGTTTTGACTATTCAATGACTCTGTGCCATCAGTAAGACTATTTTCAAAAGGGGAAAAAAAAGTCTGGATAACTTCTTCAGTCAAAACATCAGGGAGCCCCCCCCAAATATTAATTAATTACAAAAGTAAAAGTTAATACCTTGCAGTGGAACAACCTGGCAGTCACCAGCTAAAACAAGTGATCAAGGTTAACATCACCAGCAGTGATATATTAACATCCTGTACCTGCTGACATTATGCATTAAAAAGAACACATCCCCAAATCCTTAACTTCAGTATAATCATGAGAAAACAGGAGTCAAACGCAAACCAAAGATATTCTACAAAATACCTGGCCAGGTATCTTCAAAGGTGTGAGGGTTCTGAAAGTCAAGGCGAGTCCAAAGAACTGTCAGACTGGGGATAAAAGGGGCACAACCTACTACAGTGCTGATCTCAGTTTTGATATCAGCATTAGGGGAAAACCGGGTGAAGGGTATACAGGAACAGAAATATTAAAAACGATCAAGGAGATTTGGGATTCAAGTAGAAAGCAAATGCTTACTTGGAAATCAGGCCAGGAGAAAGATGCATAACGCCCTTCTAGGACTCAGCCCTCTCACAGCTGTAGGGTCGTGCCTCCTAGTATTGTAACTAGCAGTTTATCTACGTTGTCCCATTAGACAGTGAAATCATATAGGACAAGAACATTCTTAATTATCTTTGTATTTCCAGCACCTAGCCTAGTGCTTAACAGGTAATAGGGCTCAGTTGGTAAATTAATTGGTTTTTTAATTGGAATACAGTAGTTACAATGTGTCAATTTCTGGTATAGAGCACAATGTCCCAGTCATGCATACACATAAATTAATTCCTTAAGAAAAATATTCCACTCAGAGAAGAGTGTAACTTGATTGAATGACCAAATTTGTTACTTTTATGCCCTCTGTTTTCTTAAAGATTTTTCCCTCATGTTATCCCTTAAGATTTGTCTTATCTATAAGCAGACCTTCCTTAACCTGTGACATCTGATAAGTCAATTTCCAGATTGGTAATAATATGGATATCAAGGCATATGGGTCTCTGCTTCACACCAAACTGGTAATCTGTTGTATATCAACCAAGATATGACATTAAAATAGTTAATATTAACTAGCTTTTGCTTCAGAAATAGTTTATATTCTGGTTTCATGTGTAGAAATATACTGGCTGAAAATCCCTGACTTACTGGGAGGGATTTGTTTTTTCATAGTAAACAAAACCATTTATTTGTAAATAACAATTTCCTTATGAACCAAGAGATTTATAACTAATTTTTGAGGACAGTGTTACAGAGTCTCAACAGATTTTACATGTGTCAAGTATAGACATTCTCTCAATTACAACCGTTTGATTTTGGAATCTCAGGTACATTCAAAGAATGGATTACATCTGACTTTTCCTGTTACTTTCCTACTGGCCACCGTCTATAGACTATTCTGTCCCGTGCCCACATTGCCCTAGACTGAAACTACTGCTTTGTACCTGATGAGGGAATTGTATAAACCTGAATCCCTGGTCCCATAATACCTACTGTAGATTAGAGTCTGAAATGTGCTGATTATCAGAATATTTATAAAATGGGAGAAAAAATAAACT